GACCTTGTACAGGGGTAAAATTGTGAAGCAATTGATCAAACTCTGTTATTCTCTGCCTCCCAAATGGAGATGGAAGAAAGTGTTTGGGAAAGGACAGGACAGGAAAGGAAAGGAAAAGGGGAAAGAAGGAAAGAAGAAAAAGAAATCCTAAACAAAAGGGTGGCTTGTGACTCATCATTCTTTGTGACTCCATTTTTAAAAAACTTTTATTCAACTTGGATTATGACCAAAAGAGGTACAGGTAGTCCTTGACTTACAACCATTTGTTTAATGGCCGTTCAAAGTTACGACAGCACTAAAAAAACCTGACTTATTATCATTTTTTACACTTGGCACACTTATTGTCGTTGTCCGTGTGGTCACATGATTAAAATTCAGCTACTTGGCAACTGGCATGTATTTATGATGGATCATGTTGTCCTGGGACATGTGATCACCTTTGGCAACCTTATTGACAAGCAAAGTCATTTGGGAAGCCAGATTCTCTTAACAACCATGTTACCAACTTCACAACTGCAGTGATTCACTTCATAAGTGCAGCAAGAAAAGTTGTAAAATGGGGCAACACTCACTTAACAACCGTGTTGCTTAGTAAGGAAATTTTTGAACTCAATTGCAATCATAAGTTGAAAGCCGCCTGTATTGGAAGAATGGCACAGAGTGGAGCCACAAAAAAAAAAAAAAAAGACGGGCAGATCCCTGCAGCCAGTCCAGCCTCATTCTTGCTGCAGGTATTGGCAGCTGCTTTTCCTAGGGGCTAATGAGTTGCTGAAAAAAGGACAGCAAAGCCAGAGGAATCAACTGGTTCCTTTGCTTACAATCCTTTGCACATGGACAATCAGGACAGCATCCTTCAGATTAGATGCAGCAGATACAGAATGAAAATCAGCAGTGGAGCAGCTAATTTCATGTAGGCCTTGTTTCCTGCTGGTTCAAGAATGAGTGGAAAGCAGAGGGAAGTGAAAGACCCTCTGACTTTAACAAAGGTTATCTATGAATATTTGGGGGTCTGAGATGATGGAACAAACTCCCAAATCAGCTTATGTTTATAACAGCATGCTTATCCAGGGTCATTATAATCACACCTTGCATGATTGATTCCAATTTCTAGCTTCTACACTAAACTAAAGTCAACTACTTTTAACATAATTACACTAAACCATAAACTAATTAAATGCCCTGGGTTTGTACAACATGCCAAACTGAAATGTGGCTAGCCAATTTGCAGCTCAATGTTTCTACAAAAACAGCCTCTCCGTATCCAAGGTGAGCAGAGTTCATTTGGCATAATGAGACAGAAAATCCCACAGGTATTTTTCCTAATCCCTGACAGTAAAAATCCAAGAACGACGAATGAAAAAAACCCAACCATTTATAATTCCATTTTGTAGCATCAAAAACACTTGCCAGTACCAACTGCTTTTGAGCCGTGATGGCGCAGTGGTTAGAATGCAGTACTGCAGTCTCCTTCTGTTGACTTCCAGCTGCCAGCAGTTAGGCAGTTCAAGTCTCACCGGTTCAAAGTTGGCCCCAGCCATCCTTCTGAGATTGGTAAAATGAGGACCTAGATTGTTTGGGGCAATATACTGACACTGTAAACAGAGAGGTCTGTAAAGAATTGTGAAGCAGTATATACGTCTAAATGCTACTGCTATTGCTTTACTTTAACTAATGTTGATGTTAGTCCTAATTCTACTTTGACAGCAACAAATAATAGAATAAGATTCTATTTAGTGAATAAGAGTCTTTGAAGATGCTATACAATCACACATCTGTGACACTTGGGTCTTTTGGAGGGAGTCTTAATGGTGGTACCTGCTATGTTGTTGGGAGTGGGTACTCCTGATAGCACTTCTGAAGCTAATCCATGTACAGAAATAGAATGACGATTCACATGACCAAAAAATTAACTGGAGATATATGATTATTGATGTAAGATTTTTGTGATGATAGTTTCCATACCGATAGCTCAAGCAAAATATCTTAAAACAACCTTGTAATCCCTTAATTTGTGATAGAGTCTAAGTGACTGGCTGGAATTGAATGTTTGCTGGCTGGATGCCTTTCCTGAAACCACATGGAGTTTGCAACAGATATATTTTCTCTGCACTCTGAGAGAGAAACATCTGCTGCTACACACACACACACACACACACACACACACACACACACACAC